ATACACCAAAAGGTTTATTTTCAGTTATTCATTCTTCTTTATGGACATTTCTACTATTACTGACTGCAGCTTTAATTTACAATGGTAATTTTGACCAAAGCCAAGTGAATCCTATGGTGGAAAGCCAGTCAATTTCAAATCACCGCAGTGCAAATCCCCACAAATTGCCATTCCCGAGCCACAGTGAGATAAGATGACAAGAAAATCATCCCTGTGAAAACGGTTTTCCTACTTTTTGCGACAGCCGGGAACGGTGGTTGAAGGAAAAAACGAGGGAAAAAAAAGCAGCACAATGCTGAACAGCATTTTCAGTTTTAGAATTAAACCCTGGAGCCAGAAAATGAGCTGTTCCCCCTGGGGAGGCTATCTCTGTGGTTTGGGGCTGAAAACTCCACTCAGAACGGTCAGTGTTCTGTCCCACTGACTTACATTGTGTATTTAATTTAATATTCATAGTACGTCTTTATGCAAACTGACGTTCCTTTGCTCTAAATCAGAATGATTACAAAGCAGGTTCATTGATTAGTGCAGTGGTTTATAAATATGTGGGGAGCAGACTTTTCCAGGACTGGTCGTTGTATTGATTTTCCCACCAGGGCTTATTAATTTACGGAATCCTATTGGTCCTCCTTTTTAGCCCAGAGGCTTCAGCCTCAAACTCTGTGTTTACTTTTACTTTTTAGTCATTTGCTGCTTAAATTGTTTTTCTTCCATTTTTATTTGTGTACTTTTGACTCATCCTGTTCAATTATCTCTTAAATGAAAAACCGAACCAAAGGAAATTCAATCGCCCGCTCTCCTCCGTTCTAATATCCCTTTCTTCCTCACAGAGCTTAATAGGATGTTGTCAGCTCTTCAGGGAATAATGATGATGACAGTCTACTTTATTTAAACCAAGCCCAACTCTATTCAGAAACATGTCAGGGCGACAGATGATGGTTGAAGAAAAATTAGAGCTTGTCACATTTAGGAGGCAGATGTCAAACCAGTGCGGTGCCTGGACTGAAGTATCTGTGATGGAACAGTGTGAAGACCAGGCTTTGTTTACAGTGGCGTTGAATAAGGATTTGTTTGAGAAAATGCTTTTTTTTAATGAAACAGAGTCGGAGACGTGTTCACACTAACCCACGACTTAGTGTAACTCAAAGTGCTGTCATTTAAATCAACGTCAAATATCCAGCGTCTGTCAGGATCTCCGTGTCATGATGATCGATGGTGTTTGACGAGGAGCTGCTTTTGACAATATAAACAATGCACTTACAACTAATGTAGAATCACTTGTCATACACATTGACTGTTTCCACTGTTTTCTACAAGATTGAATAGATAGAAATATAGAGAGCTAAAATAAAAAAAAAGGGATCAAATATTTTTTGACATAAAGTACATTTCAAGTATTTGATGGCATTGCCTGAAAATTTAAATACCCCCAAATAATCATGAAGTGTGTTGTTTTATGGAAGCAGGAAAAAAACTAACTTATGATCATGGTCAGTTTGGATGAAACATTTTGAACGATTTATGTTTTGTCTGTTTGTTTGTTACCATTGATGGCCACTCAGGACAGTTTACACTACATTTCATTCACACCCTTCACACCTTTTCCCCTTCACATTCATGCAGCTCTTTTGTTGCCAGTCACCTGCTGCCAGCACGTCTTTCAGAAGCAGCTTCAGATTAAGCGTCTTGCTCTGGGATGAACTAGAATGTAGACTCTCTGAGCCAGGGATTAAACCTTTGATCTTTTTTGGGACACAGCCTGCTTTATCTACAGCACTTCACAACTGACATTCACACTGACGACAATGTGTGTTCCACCGTGGACTGATGGGAATAGGTGAGGTTTTCCCCAATAAAAAAAAGTACCTGTGAGGTCAAACCAACCCGTGTCCACTGACAGCAACAACCCAGCAGAAAAGCAGGTTTGCTGGTTCAAATCTCAGTCAAACCTCAATCAAAGACTTGTATAGTCACTAATGTAAATTTTAACAACAATATTCTAGCAGTTTTAGATTGTCCTTATCAGTATTTTCAGGTTGAAGGCAAAGTTTTAATTGAAATGGTTACGGTCTGTGCCTCCACTCGGTGTTGCTGTGCCTCAGGAGCTCCTGAAATATCAATAGATTGTTGAAATGAACTCTGGTGTGTGATTCTGTTCCTCCAACAACACTGGTGCAGAAAAACCCACTCTGTCAGAAGTTGATTTATCTGTTCAACCATGCTTTCACTGGTGGCAAAAACATTTCAGTCTCTTAATCACAGGCCTGGTGCTTTCCCATCACAGGTGCTGAAACCCTGCGAGCTGATGGAGAAACACACACAACCTGCTCCGAATATGAATATTCTTCAAGGATCCACAACCAGGGGGAGCTACTAAGACTAGATGGAGAAACGGATGTTGCATTCACGGAACTGCGTCTTCATGTTCGTGCTGATCCTGGAGCTGCTGTTGCTGCACCAAACCAGTGTGGATGGAGGTCCACAGGTGAGTTTTAATTAGATGACACGAGGTTCCTCAGCACGCATCACACGTCCCACGTGCCCGTCGGCCATTTTTGTATGTGAAACCATGCACTGCTTATCAGCGCCTCTGCAGGTATTTATGTCTTAACTGCGCAGTCAAGCCTGTAATACCCTCCCACCCCCACCTCACGCTGTGTTTCTGTTTAAATGTGTAGGCTTCTATCTTGTGGTTGTGTTGGCATGGAAACAGGAGTGGCATTGCTATGTGTGTGTGTTGAATCTTTCACCCCTGTCCCCTGAGCTCTGCGGTGTGGAAACTCTGACTCTCAGCCCTCCCCAGGGGACAGCCGGCATTGGTTGTACAAACAGGTCCCAGTGCGGCAAAACCATTTAGCTGCAACGGAATAATAGATCAAAATAAAGTCCATTTTTATTTATATACATATATACATATATGTATGTATATATGTATATATGTTTGTGTATTTGTATATGTATATATGTATGTATGCAGTGTTAGAAATACACACTTTAGTAACACTTTTCACATTTAAGTTCCATTCACACCGTGGCCTTCCTGTGTTTGGTTTGTAAAATTATGAAGTGAAACGTTGCAGAAAAATGGAAAGCAGCAGAGCTGGGAAGGTTTTCATGTATTTACTGCCATCTAGTGGAGTTAACCTTTATATCTACACATATTATAAATATATTTACTTACAATAGTTGTGATGCACGTGCCATATATTGTGTGTAGGAAATATCACTCACATCCTGATGCTGCTGAACAAAACATTGCAGGGTGTGATATTGTGATTTGGGCTTTGGGGGTCTCTGAGTACGGTTTAAAAGGACCTGAATACCAGAGGTTGCAGACCACTGGTCTAAACCAGTAAGTCTACTTGTGCCACAATGTCTCGGTGTCAGTGTACGTCACCCTCTAGTGGCCTGGCCTTGCCAGTGTTGAGCCGTTGAGCTGTCAAACTATCAAGTTTAGAAAATTCCCTTCACCATTTCTGTTTACTCTGAGTTCTGCTTTCACTTAAATCCTTCCACGCACAGCGGTTGTCAGGAGACATTTCCATCACAGCTTGCATCAGGAAAATAAGGACTTCAGGGACACAGATATGTGGAGAATGGTGACAGGAGCCTCCTACGGCTGAACTTTCTGAGTGGGTGAAACATCCCACTCATGAGAACGTATCACTGTGAGAGACGGCGCTATTAGAAGAAACGATTCCATCATTTTGATTGCAAGGCTTTTTTTTTCATGTGTCCTGAGGGCGACACACTTTATCTCAGTGTCATGCCTGAGTCAGCTCCAGCCAAGAGTGGAACTCCCTAAAGATTAATGTGCATGACCGTAGGACAAACCTTTGTGGATTCAATGCACAAAACTATGAGTATTATTCTGTGTTCTTGATTAGAATATAAGCAGATTTGAAGTAGACCTGACTGCATCCGTAATATCAGTAGAAAAAACCCCTGTGTATAAAACAGTTGAAACATAAACACAGTCATTGCAGCTCGTGTTTGTTTCAGCGATGACATAATTTTCCTTTTGTATATTTGTTAATTTTTGTTATTTCTAAAACAGGGAAGCGGGGAAGGGCTGCAAATTGTTACTTTTATATATTTTATATTTCTTTTTGTAGGGTTTATATAGCATCACTCCCTCCTGCAGATGGCGTCGTAGGTTATTGTCTATGATATGCTAAGAGCTGGCTGTTGCTGGTCTTAAGGACCTACAGTGTGTTACAGGGTGTGTCACCAAAAGTATGAATGCTGATAATTGATTATTTCTTTTGAAATCCTGAGATTGAAAATCCACCAAACAGAATTTGTTTTTTAATTAGACAGTCATGCTACTCCACTGTAAATATATTCTAACTATTCCTGCTCTGACAGTAGCTGGTTTTAGGTGAAACAATGACCTGCCAAAGAACTCAATGTTGCTGCTTTGTCGACAGCTGTGAAAGTAAATGTCCAGCTCTATATTTGTCCACTGCTGGAGCCATGGTCGATACATGCAGTATAAAAGTGCAGTAGTATAAATGGCTCGCAGATTTTGTACCTCGTCCAAGCTCATCCTGTTTTAATGATCTTTTCCATATCATTTCATTACGATCCAGACGGCGTGTTTACAGCCTGGAGCTGAAGTGTTGGTTAAATAATGGTTTCACTCCTACTGACGGAGGCTTTTGTCCTCACACTGTTGGTAAAGTCGTGACAACAATCAGTGCTTGAACACTGGAGGCAAGAAGACCAGATTCAGATGACAAGTTGTCACGTTTACTTTTATTGTAAAGGTGATATTATTCCAAAATATTAATATGTTAAAGGGAATTGTAAAGTAAAAGAAAGGGAAACATCTAGAAAACACCTACACAAGACTTTGGTCAAATTTGGGAAACGTTCTTATCAAAAATTTCCACAGCAAAAAAAAAAAAAGACAAAATCTAACGATGCTCCAAAAATTATATATATATGTATATATGTGTGTATATATATATATATATATATACTTTATGTATATTATATCTATTTTCTGGACAGGGTGAGTCACATGTACAACAGTATGTTTGGGTAGAAAGTCGACCTTGAGTCCTAGAAACAAGTATAAAACATTGGAATGGTTGGGCACCTGTGCTTTTTACATCTAAACAAACAGTACTTTTCTATATAGGGATATCACATGTATATGATTATCAAATCATTATTATTTGTCTTGGTATGCCACAGCAAATTTATAGTTATCTTTCAAGTCGCTCCTCTGTGTCGGAGCTGGTTTTACAGAGCACAGAGGAATCGGATTAGCTTAGCTTGAACCCACCTTAATGTTTGGCTTCTCTGGATAACAGCTGATCTCAGACCTGGATTTGACTAACACAGATTCATGGATGTACCCCTGCTATAAACAAAATGCAGTGGTTGGTGGTTCTACCCTTCTCCTCGCCCCGCCCACTGTCCACAGAACACCTAGCAAGGTACCTAGCAAGGGTGCACGTTACAAGCCCGGATTTCCTTCCTGTCCTTACAGCTGGACAACTGTGACGTCTTAAAGCGTTGCTTGACCGTCATGAGCCGCTCCTGAATCCCCCCTCCGCACAGTTTGGTGCATTCTGTCCAACTGGACCATGGCCTCATTTTGCAACCTTCAGATGTAAAAGAGAAAATTAGGAAAAGAAGATTGTCATGCAGTATTAAATGCAGTAAAAAAATGCAGTTACGTGCTCCATAAAACTACAGTTTGTTTCAGTCTGATTGAATTTTTTTTATTAATCTATTAAACTGAGGTACAACTGTCAGGTCACAGCACTTCAGTGGTCATAAACAGTAAAACTATCCCTCCATAGCTGTATTCAGTAATTAAACCATTTGAGCAGGTTATAGTGTCAGTTTTAAAAAAAAGTTTTTCAAAAAATGTCTCTGAGAAGATACACTTTGCTGCAGTCCAAAATCTGTAGGATGGTCACTAGAATTTAATACAGTGTGGTTTAAGAACTGGAGGTAGACCAGGCCTTGATTTATCACTCTTCATATATATATGTATATGTGTGTGTATAGTTGGGGTTTTGTCACAGGGGTTGTGTAACTTCAGTAAAAGCCTCACATGCTGCTGATGACAGTCCAATTACAAGTGTAGTCTCAGCAGAATGATGGAGTCAGAGCAGGAATCTGGAAATAATGGATGTGTCTGGAACAGCACAGCTGATATTTCCCTCTAATGAGACTCTGCAGCCCACGTTTCATTAGAGGGAGGTGTCACTGCGGGCAGTACCTGACAGCTGCTGTGAGCTGAGAGCTCTGCTCCACGACGTGCACACACTGTATAGGTTCAAACGTGCACATATAATCGGAGCCGTTTGAAATAAAGTCGGTTCAAAAGTAGTAGAAAAGAAAGTGAGACATCAAGAGACGTTTCCTGTAACAAAAAGTATTACCATTACTGTCCAGAGTACGGCTCGCAGTTAACAGTGAATTAGCAGTTCTTAAACCTTTCCTACAGCGCCCCCTTATTTAGACAGGACTATTGTTGAGCCCTTCCCAGACTTGGACAAATGACATGACATTGGTCCTAACCTGGATGTTCAGACGTGATCTCAGCTCCGTCCAGTTTGCTCCTCCTCTTGTCTCTCTGTTCTTTGCGTCGTTTCTTGTCGTCCCCGTTGCTCTGTCCTCTGCTACACTTCCTGACCTTACACTTCTTCCTCTGAATGCTCTCTGGGCAGGGGTTCCCCCCAAACTGTGGCTCCATCATCACCATGCGTGTTCGGATGGTGTGACCCTTCCCACAAGACTTGTTGCACTCTGACCACTCTGTCCACTCTGACATGATGCAGTCGATGGCTGAGCAGGGAGAATATGACATGTTCCCATAGTTTGAATTAGTCACAGATAGAAACAGGGGTTAAACACAGACATCTGTCATCTGATTCCAGCAGTACACATCATGAGCTCAGTACATGCACATACACTAACAGTATGCAAATGTGCACATAGTGTAGTGTACTTACGGCACTCTGGCAGCATACACTTCTCCACCTGCTCCAGTTCCTCCGTACAGTCTCCCAGCTCCACAGGGGATTTGAGTTTACGCTGCCGTGTCCTCAGACCCTTCCCACAGGTCACACTGCAGTCGCTCCAGTCAGACCACGGTGACAGGAGGCAGGGGATGGTGTCTGTGAGCAACACAGTTCTCAGTCGCACATGCAACTGGGCTAGCCTTTTTTTATTTATTTTATTTTTATTTTTTTAACTTTGAACCCAATTGGAATTTGTCAGGGAAGTAAAGCACTAATTTTTAAACCCACTCTCCCTTTTCTTCCTCCTGCTGTGTCTTCAGACTATAATTGCCTCATCATTGCACTGATTTTTAAGTAATATTTTAGAGCATAACAGACTCACCTGTCAAAATATGGTAATTGTATTCATAGAAAGCCAGACAACTTTTGGTAGAAGATGATAAAAGATAAGTCGAATTATTATTATTACTAATTGAAGTCAGGAAGGCTAATATTTTTCTACAGATCCTTCATGTGCTGTTCCATCAGCAAACAGCAAGCATGCCCTCTAGTGGTTAACTGTTTGATGTTTATTTCCTCAGCTTAACAACAAACAGTTAAATCCTCTCTAATAAATAGTCTACAGGATCATCGTAGCTAATATGAGACACTGACAGAAACAAACAAACAAACAAACAAACGAATGAATCAGTTTCAGTCGTCCTGAACATGCAGCCACTCACCACACTCTGGCATCATGCACTTCTCCACTTCCAGCACCTCAGCTCCACAGATGGAGCCGTCTTCAGGGGGCATCTTCACCATGCGTTCTCGCCTCTTCATGCCAAGACCACAAGTAGCGCTGCAGAGATCCCACTCAGCCCACTCTGTCACCAGGCAACTGCTGGGAGCTAAGGCCAAGAGTGGAGAGCAGGGTCAACATAAACACAGATAAAGAATAAATAAATAAGTAAATAAATAAATAAAACCCCTACTGCACTCCTCGTTGACCACACAGTCTTCAGTTTCCTCGGTGGGCATCGTGCAGATTGAGCCGTCCTCAGGAAACTGTTTCACGTAACGCTCCCTGGAGCGTAAGCCCAGCCCACAGGACGCACTGCACGGAGACCAGGTGATCCACTCTGACATCATACATGTGGACGCATCTAGAACAGGGGTGTGGTGGACACATGGAAACCCTCTGTTAGGAATCATAGGGGCAGAATACACCCATCCATCCATCCATCCATCCATTTTTACAGCTTAGTCTTGTTCAGGCTTCATAAGTCGTTGTCATGAAGTTATTCAATTACAGCCAAAGTGAAATCAGGTAGTCATTTCTGACTACATGAAAACATTTACCAACTAATGAAGTATGTCTTGGTAAAAGAGAAAACTCACTCATATATATAAATTATAAAAGATAAATTGAAGTATTTTGAAATGCAAAATCTTTCCAGACAATGAATGTGTATTTTTTACCTTTATTCAGTTTAAATTTACTTTTTGCAAGTGAGTGGTATTAATGTCATCAAAGCTTGAGAGCATTCAGAACCTTTAAAGGCCTTTCATTAATAACAGGGTTTTTATTATGCTGGAAAATTCTGCGACTTTTAATCTTTAGAGCAGCCATTAAAAACACAATAATGTAGTTGGGTTTCAAATGGTTGCACTATATATTTTTAATTATTGCGAATATAAGTGACTCCGAGCTATTAAACAACTTATTACTCTACTTTCCTCAGCTGCAGCATGACTGTTTTTATGCTGTGATAAAATTGGGCAACAGATTTACTGCCGACTCACATTTAGGTTTAAAAAAGACAGAACTCCTGGTCAGATTTGATAAGGTGAAAAAAAAAAGACAATTATGTTTTTATATGTGTAAAAGTCGTCAACTCGATGTTTAGACGTTTTACCTGAGACCAAAGACTGTCTCTAGGTCTCAGCTAGCGTTCGTGCAGTTCTTATGTTCGCACTCTTTCTGAATCAACTCGATGTTAAGACGTTTTACCTGAGACCAAAGACTAGACAGTTCAGTCTCTAGGTCTCAGCTAGCACAGGCTCAACGTTCGCGCAGTTCTTATGTTCGCACTCTTTCTGAGCAGCATGTTTATTATTGTCTGAAAAACAAACTAAATGTAAAGCCTGCATTCTGGCACGTGGGCAGTGAAGTTGGACTCAAGCAGTGATTTCAAGACATAAAGTGGTCGTAAATGAGGCTAACAGCAGGGGTGATGTGGACACCCACTAACCATCTGTACATTAAACTGATTTGTGGTGTTATAACATTTCTGAATTACTGCTTAATGGATGAACTCACCCTCGTCACTACACCCAGGCCCCATGCAGGGCTCGAAGTCCTGGGTGTGTGGGCAGGGAACGCTGAGGTCTAACTGGGCCTTCAGCATCCTCTGCCTCATCCTCTTACCCTTGTCACAAGTGGCTGAGCTGCAGGCGGACCACGGAGACCAGTTAGAGTAGATGCACGTCTCAGGGGTGTCATCTGGTTTATAGGGAAGATGTGGAAAGTTTATACAGTGTAACACTGACACAAGGCAGTTCACAGGGCTTAACAACGCCAGGGAAATACATTAAAAAAAGATATTAGGGAAAACATTAAAAATGCATTTAAAAAAGACAATAACAACAAAGCGCTCCAAAAATAATTTACGAAGGCCATGGGATGATACTGCATACCATTAAATTGCATTAAAAACCCATTTAGGACAAGAACATGAGAATGGAAGGGGGAAAGCGATCACACCTTCTTCCTTCTCCTCCTGTGCAATGTCAGCCACAATGTCGTCCACGTTGTCAGGCACAATGTTGCACTGCTCGCCCTGTGAACACACAAACAGATGGTGACGGCAACACTTCAGTCTTCACTTCCATAACACCTCCTACATTTAATTTTTTTATGTTTTTAGACTATTAAAAATAAAGTAAGAAGAACTCTGAAAAGTCACGGCTGGAGTAATTGTGGGGGGAAAAAAACAAGAAAAAATAATGTAAAGAAGGGATAAGATAAACAAATAAAAGTAGCTTTAAGGATCATTCACAGCACAAAAATACACATATCTTGATATTCACCATAGCAGCCACTAGTTGTCATCAGAGCACAGTTAACCGTAATCTGATGTAGTTTCTAGAACAATGATTTTTTTTACAACTTAATCTTTCACGTATCACGTTGTTATTATTGACACCAATGAAGTCAATTTGACATTTGTCAGTTGATTCAGATTCAGTTGATTTGTTCAGTGTCACTATTGACACAAAAACATAAATGTGTCTGCTCCTTATTTACAGCATTAGTTAAACCTTAAGATAAATGTCTAATTAGTTTAAAATAATTAATTAAAGCTGTTATTTATAATATGAATGAATTTTAATGTAATAAAATTACCTTGAAAAATTATCTCATGGCTTTGTGGCAGAATCTTACCCTTTTTCTCAAAATGCTGGTGCACTGACAAGTTGCTAAAAAAAATTTCCCAACCACGACCACCAGGGCTTTCTCAGAACACTATTTTCTTTATTAAGCTTTGTTTATTTGTAGTTATTTTTGAGATTACTTGATATTTCAAAGAGAAATTTTACTTTAAAAACATAATTGCGACTCTAGAAGACAGGACACAAAATAACTGGAAAAGTCACATTTCTTACTTTAAAATCATCTTTTTTTCCCTCTGGGTCACAGTTTGATTCCTTTAAAAAAAAAACCCAGATCCAGTAGATTTTTACACCTGCAGAGAGCCAATCAGTTCTGACATTCATTGGTGATAATTAGTCCTGGATATTTACTACTGTGACATTTACCAGCTGGTTAGTCAGATATGATCACTTTATTGTCATCACACAGTTACCTAATCTTGGAGGGATGTCGTGTGTTGTAAACAAACTGACCTTTCTGGCAATGCGTTCCACCATTACCCTGGCCACTGGAGTGATGGCGCCCCCTTCAGGATCATAAAATGGGCTCTGTGGATGATCTAGACTGGTCAGGGGTCGGATCTTGTCCTGGGGCTCGGTAACCTTGTTGGGAGACTGAAGTAGGGACAAACAGACAGACAGTGGAATCTTTGAGACTTTGTCTTTGGAATCAATGTGAGTAAAATAAATTAAACTCTGTTGTTCATCCCACAAGAAAGAAATTCGCAGTGTGGGTCTTTGCAAACCACACAGGCTGCCACGGGAGGCGCCATTAAGGGTATTTGGTCTCTTTGGGGCTTGAACCCACGTGTCAGACAAGAGTAAGAACCGCTGCACTATGGAACCACCAAGATGTGTTTCTTGAGGGAGAATTGAACTGAGGCCACGGCACTGTGAGTCCCCCCCAAATCCCCCACTGTGGTCAACCAGACAAAGACAGACACAGTGGGAGTTTGCAGAAAATAGAGAGTGAGTAAAGAGTGACTACTAATTAAAAGATACAGTAAAACTAATGGCACTGCGGGTGGATCTCATTACTCAAAATCAGTTCTGTGCCTCTAACAACTTTAGAACCGAGTCCCTCTCCACCAACAGACGAGCCACGGTTTGATTACTCCCTGCTACACAGTAAAACTATACGGCTTCCTACGTCGACCTTGTTTAAATAAGTTTCACATTTGGAAAAGTTTCTATTTCTGTCTCCACCAAACATCTGACCGAACAAGAGCCTTAACCCTGAGGTCTCCTGGGGGCTGTGAGAATGGTAATAAGAGTTGTCTGAACGAGAAGAAGAAGAAAAGGCAAAGGTGTGAGGCAGCACTTAGTGCCTCCATCTGTCGTCTTCTTCTTCTTCTTCTTCTTTAGTCGACAACCGGGAGGTGTGATGTAAGGTTGAATGCAGGTTCGTTCCTCTTCACTGTGACGGCTAATAAAGTTAGGAGGTGGGAGGCTGCTGCGTACATGCAAACTGTTTATGTGTGTAAGTTCTGTTAGGTGACATTTAAGTGAATATACAAAGGTTACAGGTTCAAATCCCTCTTTGTGCAAAGCATTCCTATGATACTATAAATGCCTTCCTCAGTCAAATGATCTCTGTTCTGTACATTAAAAAATGAAGGTCTGAAGCAGTCTATTAGTCACTGCATGCATATCTGGGCTCTTCTTCTAAGCCACTAGGGGGCTGTATTGTGCAGTGTATGTAGTATACCCTTTGTAAACGCAGAAACTGGAAAACCTGCTGAAAGTATATTGTTAGGTGAGTTCTTGTTTCCTGTAGGTACTCTTCCTAGAATATTTCAGTTGTACTCGGAGTGAACAAAAATATTGTACAATTCAATAATCCAATAGCGATTACTTTTTTGACAGTTTTTTTTTTCAATACCGAATAAAATTGGCACTGATACTGAGAGAGTAACTGATTCTCAATCGACACTGGTGTGAGAATATACTGTATATATTGTTACATTGATACTTCCATCACTACTGATGTTCTGAGCATCGACATCATTCTTCTCTGTAACACAGACATCACATCACATCACCTCCGTGCCTAAAGCCGGACGGGGGCGGTAGAAAGTGTCATTATCTAAAAACCCACACATAAACACAGGTGTCACTGTTATCTTGAACACCTTCCGTGTCGCTCTTATTGTTATGCTTCTGTCACCCGTCACCACAAACACTTGTCTCCGACCACTTCACCCTCTTCATCTTTGTGTGTCGGCTTCACGGCTTGGTTCAGTTCACTTAAGGTGAAAATATATTCCTATTGAAAAGAAAACTTTGAACCTGTTTGGTCTGTAACCCGATGGGTTTGTTCATTATTGAAATGACGCTTTTAATAATCACTTCCATGCTGCGCCGCTACATTCAACGTCAGCGTAATCACAGGAAAGCAAAAGTGTTGTTTGACGAGAATAATTAAATAAAAAAAAATAAAAACATCTAAAAAAAATAATAAAGCGCATGGGTCTTTGAAATGTAATTTATGCAAATAACAGAGTGGAACAGTCAGAGCAGAAGGGAGACGAACTGAAAGCTCATAAATATTTGGGCAGTCATTGAGGTGAAATTTCATTCGATACAGTTAGACCACTGTAAGTCAAGAGAGGTGTGTGTGTGTGTGTGCGTGCACGTGGGTGTGGCAGTGAGGAAAAAAGGGGAGGAAATGGAAAAGTAAAATTATTCCTACTTCTTGTTCAAACAACCCAGAGAACACAGTTAAACAGGTTCACACGGGCTCTGAAGGATCAGCCAAGGGTTCCTCACACGTGCAGTAAGACTTTGGTCCAATGTGTTCTTAACTGTCTCATTTATTAGCGGTAAGTGGAGGCAGAGCACGGGCAGCGGAACCCACCTCGGGGTGAGGGAAAGGGCAACAGACGTTCAAGGCCGTTGGCAGAAATTGGATGGGTGATGACACTTGAATTGCAGCAGATGGGCAGTGTTTGTGGGGGGAGGAGGGGGGGGTAAATTGGCCATATAGGCAGACAGGTAGATGAAGAGAAGAAGTTGGTATGATGTCAAGATGAGGCTGTTAGTGTGGAGAGAACCTTGGTGGATGATGAGAGTACAGAAGGTCATAGAGGAGTGGGAAAAGGTAGTTTCTAGAAGGCTTGGAAGGCTGCAGTACCCTCATTCGCCTCTAGTGGAATAAGGTGTTGCATGTATACAGATGGTTTCAGTGCTCAGGCAAAATCGCCTTATGAATAATTCCAAACAATGTGATTTAACAAACCAATTATCCAAAAATTACAACTTATTGATTTTATTTTTACCTTATATTGTTTTATTTTTTAACTTTTTTATATTCATGTGGCGCTTTGTCATTGGTGTGGAACCCCAGGATTCACCTCCTGGGCAAGTTTGAATCCTGGTTAGGGCGGTTGGTACCTTCCAGTGGACTCACCACCCGCAGGAAGGTTTAGGTACGGTGCAATGTGATTTGGGTGGTGACTGCTGCCCCCGCAACCCGGTAACGGATAAGCGGATGAAAATGGATGGATGGATGAATGGATGGATGAATGTTATATTCATGCATTTCCCACAGTGAAGTATGGTTCTAAACATTTGAATCTTCTGTGAACTTGATTGTGAACTTGAATAGTTGTTAAAAAGACCAAACTTTTAACAACACAAACACCAGCGTATGTCGGGATCTCACCTACCGCACGGAGTCGAACCTCATTTAATGAAAGCAGCGAATGTGTTACAGCTGTAGGAGAATATTTTATTCCTTTGCAGAAGTGGAAACAGTTCATTAATCAGAGAAAAGAACTGAAAAAAACAGTCAAAGTCAAAGACGGACTCCATCCCTTCCCACAGAATGTAGATACTAAATTAAATTACAATTGTTTTTAAACCATTATGTCGTCTTAATTAGCGGACTCATGACCACATGTTGACTCTAAACACTTTGAACTGTATTATTAGGCTGATTAACTGGTACTTGGTTCTTTGAACACAGGCTTTTTATGCATCAAATTTCCATTTTTTTAAAAGAGATTTTTAAAGACTTTTGTTTTGTTTTTCTTTAATTGTAATTCCAAAACTTGCCACAATGGTTGATATAGTTGTAGATTTACTGTATTGTTGTCACTGACCTCATATGACACCCCACTGTCAGTGCCTGCATCCCAGGGGATCAGGTCCTGGACCACCTTCTGGGCCCAGCCACACTCCTTTGTACAGAGGTCTTCAGCAGACAGTCCCACATTCCAGTCTGGACTGGGTCCTAACATGGTCAGAAAGGACATGAGGTGACGGGTCCGGTCCACGGAGAATTCAGCCGATGGAGCCGCTCGTCTGAGAAAAAAAGTAGTTGGAGAAGAGAGTGTTAGCTGCACCCGACACTTCTGTCTCCGATAACAGAAGATGGAAACATGAACATAAATGAAGTATTTTATTTATTCTTTTGCTGTGGCCAGGAACGGTCCACAGACCAGGGGTTGGCAATGTTTCCATAAGATCCCAACTCAGAAACATATCATCTGCATATATATTATTCTAGTAAACATTAACTAGCTGTGGTCAAACTGAAGGTTTCTGGTCCGGGTTTTTACTTATCTCAAACTACACAAGTTTGGTTTGTCCTTGGAATCACCTCCAAATATCCACTGATGTGTAGTTGGGTTAATTAATGACAAGGGATCGGTTCAGTGTGCCTGTGGGCTCAGCAAAGCACCGGTTCCTGAACTATTTCTGCAGGACAGCTGTTAAGTAGATAGAACAATTATCCTATAAAAAAAAATCAACTCACTTCGATCTTAAGAGACGTCTGAACTTTCTCTGGATCAGACCGTCATCAGCCAGTAGCCTTTCCTGTGGCCTGTCCTCCTTACCCTCACCCCCAACACCCCCTCAAGCCTCACCCTTCTTACTCATGTGACTTTTTAATTTGATTTTGGAGTTTTTCTTTCAGTTACAGAAGTGTAAGACCTTACTAATCCATCAGTGATCTTTGATGGATTGTCAGTGTAATGCTACAGTAATTCTACACGAGGCCTTGTAAATGTTTAATTTCTTCAAATTATATTTCAGCAATTTTTTAGAACATTGTGATTCTCAAATTATGGTGCGTGTGAAACACATAGTACGTGGTTTTTCTGAGGTTTAGATTAGGTGAGTGACCTGGTTGTTATTTATCAACTTTTATCATTGTCTCGTATGTGGCTTTGGCTGATATTTGGCGTGTAGTAATCTGTATGATTTACTGTTGTACGTACTACGGAGGTGTAAAACTTGAGAACCGTAGCTTTGGAACATTATACATGAGACTGACACAGAGATTTGTCCTTTTGTCTCACTAAGTACTGTAGCCAACCTTATGACTCAACAAGGACACATGGACCGTCCCCCGTCTTCAACAATGACTGACAGTCAAAATCAATTACATGACTTGTTTTTAGCCGAGCCAAGATTAATTGGGAGTTGTTACATAATTGTCAAGTCCCCAACAATCGGTCTGTGATTTCTATTGAGCTGTCATAAACTCATTCAGCTGCAGCCAACTCTGTCCCTCCATTGTGTACTCCTTTGTGGCCTTTGGGGATGTCAAATGGCCCTTATCCTGAGGGAACACACACGACTCCACTACGCTCTCCTGCCTCTGCTCATGGAGTGCAGCAGGTCTGAGGTTTATCTCACACAGCCACCTGTGAACTACACACAAGTGAAGTGTAACTGACAGAGAAGAAGAGACCGGGCAGTACTGGAAGATACCACACTGTCTGTGAACTTCAGGACCCACAAATGCTTTTTTTCTTTTTTACTGAGTACATGATTGTAAACACATGTTACTGTACTCAGATGTGCACATTTACTGGTGCAGTACTTATTATTGCAGTATTTGAAGTGACAGTTATGGTAAGATAGTGTTGTTTTTAATAGTTTAAAATCAAAGGATGATGAATGAAACTTTTTTCAGAGTATTTTTACAATATGTATAAAGAAAATCTATATTTTTTCTCACTACTACTACTACTACTAATGCTCCTACAAATAATATATTAATGTATAGCTGCATGTACCAGTGTGTGAACGAAATTAATTGGCTTGGTTTACAGCACAATGATGGCTAATTAGCCCGACGAATCACAGCGTCTGTTCTGAGCATCGCTCTCCTCTTTGGAGACCGAACGCGGCTTTCAGTGACGCCCAGTGGTCGTTAAAAACAACACAGAATGCGCTTTACCACGAGAGTTTCTTGTTGTTCTCATGAATAAGAGATGGCCAGTAGATAAATTAGCTTTCCCACTGTCAATTCAGTAAGCTGGCAGTTTCAGGGCAAACGAGATGCGGATTTACACTCATTACATCAACAACAGCTCACTGGACCGTCCTGATATATGAGCCTTAGGTCTGCAAATCTTTGTTAAGGCCTGGATTAGCTGAAAACTGTGTTCACCAAGAAAACAAAGTGCGGATTCCTTAAACAGAACATCTGCTGATGAGGAGTTTGTGGTTCAGTACCTGCTGTATGTTGTAGAGAAAATATGTCAAACTCAAGGCCCAACAGAAAACAATTCAAAATCACTTCATAGACCAGGCCTTGTGTCCAACAATTCCAAACACATATTGTCTATTCTGAGATCTGCATTTTTCTATTTTTTTATGTATGCCATTCTAAACATTTGTCCCCAGATCTTTTGTTTAAAAGTCAAGATATTTTGTGCTACTTACACATTAAGTGGTTGCCAGGCCGGCCATTGAGCTTTCATTTTAATGACTGTCAGGACATCGTCACCCTAGAATGAAAGAGAAAAAAAGGGGAAAAAAATAAAAATCACATTCATAAATATTTAACAGAACTGCATTTCATAGAAAAAAAAGTCACAGTGTATTTTCATTTTTTTTTTCTTTTTTTGGAGAGTTAAATGCGTCAACCTTTTGTATCTATACTTGACTCATTTCTGCTACAGTCCACTCCAGATCTCAGAGACATAACAACAAACTTCATCCAAGCCAGTACTTCTCAAATAGTGGGGCGGGTCCCCTGGGGTGTGACTTTATTGAGTGGATGTAAAGACTATTGAAACAACCTAAGGATACATGAACAAGTGGGAGTTGGGTATTAATAAATACCAAGTCTTTTAATTAGTGGGTGACCCGTCCTAGCTCCAGAGCAACCGTTGCCCTCCGGGTCCCCACCTACTGGCCTTCTATTGAATTCCATTAGAGTAAACCTGACGAGCCGAAGGCGTACGTGTTGAACTAATCTTATTTCACAGATGAGACTGTAACTCAGTGGCTGTCTGCACTATGAAAACAAACACAATTCACCTCGGTTTCCTTTGTGGGTCATTTCACAGTCTGACTCTTTAACACAGAGCTGAACCTGTGTGAATGTGAGTGAAGCTGATGTCCACATTTCAGCAACGTCTTAAAAATTTTAGGTTGTTGTAGGTTGTTTTTATGGTTATCTATGTTATATCTCATCAAAAAACATGTAAAAAAATGTACTTAATATTTCAGTAGTCACATTTGCCAACATACTTTCTATTGGAACATCATTGGTACCTTAAATCAAAACAGTGTACAACAGTATTAAAACAACCAAAGAAACAGATTTTTTAAAACCATCATAAATATCTATAGGGAAAAAGTACTTTGAATAAAAAAAACAAACAAACAAAAGAAAAACATCACCAAGAATTCTGTGTTTTTGCAACCTTTTCAAAACAAATAGAAATGTCAGTGAGTCTCGCAACTACTGAAAAGGTCACATTCCATGTTCTGCACCTGCGACCAAAGAAACAAGATAAGAGCCTTGAGTGTCGGCGTCTCCTCTTTGTCTGCTGACTGAATTCACATGTCGATATGACACTGGTGAATCTCTCTTCTTTCTCTGATGGGTTTGTTAGGTAGGTTGTTTTTAGGTTTTTGGGTTTTTTTTTGAGACTTCAAAATAATGAAATTACTAATATAGCAAAATTATCAAGAGTATCAATTACTCTTGATAATTTTGCTAACTGTAAGTTACGCAAAAGTATAACTCACATATTGAGTAAGTTACGCAAAAGTATAACTCACATTATACTGACTATGTACATTTTATTTATTGGTGTATTTCATGAATATGTTAAAACTGTCAAATAGACTAACTTTGTGAAGAATGGCCAACAGCAACTGAGCCATGTTAACTGGGCACAGGGAAGAACCTCATTCCTCTAATTGAGTCTTCAGCCATCTGTAAAAAGTCTTTACAGGATCAAAACAGGATGTGATTCAGGATACATCACCCTGACTCAGTAATTACCAGAAACCCATCACTTATAAACTCCCAAGACATTTTAAATGAAGGAATGAATGGGTTTCATAATTAATTGGAAACTCTTCTGCATTATGACTATCAACTGTGCAGTGTAGCCCAGGGCCTATCTGCCCTAGGGTAAATGCCATTATTAATTTCCTAACTCCTTATTATGCTCATCATTGACCTTTTCCTCTGTGGACCAGGAAGTGTGATGCTGCGCTGATATAAAACATACGCTTCTTCAGTGAGATGTTGGATTCTGGTTGGTCGGCTTTGTAAGGAAACAGGTCATTTGCATTTGGAGTTTGTTCCCTCAGATGTTTTGCACCTGAATCGCTTCGCATGAGCTGTTAGGACTTTTACCTCAGTCACTTAAAATTCATGCACAGCAGGGAAATTACACACGGCAGAAGCCTCCTCTGGCACAAACATATAATGATGTTCTTTTCTTTTTTTTTACACATAAAAAAATCTTCACTATAGCAACCAAGGCAGGTGCGATACTGGAACTCATATATATATATATATATAAAATGGTACACTTTTAGTATGTTCTATATACAGTAACACTTCAGTCTATCCCTCTCTCTCTCTCTCTCCCTCTCCCTCTCCCCCTCCCTCCCTGTATATATGTATATATAAATATACGATAGTTAGATGGATGTAGACATATATACCTACGGTACATATTTACTATGCAAATATATTTACATATATACACACACAGAAATAAATATCTGTAACCATATATATATTTACACACATATATCCCTTTTAATTGCTTTGAAATATACAGCTATAATCTTTGTTTTTTTTTCTATTTTTAAGGATACAGTTAGTGTTAATTTAATTTCTACTTCATTTTATTTTTCTCACTAGTTTAAAAAAATGATCTGCCTCTACTGAAAACCCATGCTGCTACAAGATTAAATTATTTTGGTGAAAATTTCTTTAAAGCATACAAATGTTATGTATATTAACAAACACATGTACAGTAGGATGTTGTTTAAAGAAAAATACTAGTGTTCAAATGTAGCAAATAAACTTCAAGTTTTTACTCAACACTTTGGGGAAGACATAACTTCACGATTAACTTGACACAATTTTCCAAGATTCTCTATGAACCTCCAAACTATCATTTCAATTCCAATCACCATTAATCTTACCACGTCCCCAAATATCTGCGACATGAAATTCTAATCTGTTTTGTAATCACTCATATTGTGCCTGTGAAATATCCTGTGCGTTGTGATGCTCTCATCGTTTGTCATTGTCAAACCTCAGCAGCCGGGGACATCTGCCCAACTGGACAAACGGCCGGCACAAATCACTGCACAAGGTGTTCCTCATTAAAGTCTTATTAAAGTTATTATCATATTTACTAAAAGCCAACATCTGCTCCTGGACAGTTATCAAACCGTGGTGCAGAAACAGAGAAGTACATTTTGTTCAGATCACTGCATTTCCTTACTAATAAATTATTTATATTTTTACTGACAGAGATGTTTCTTCATGGAAATTTATCAAATGGTAGGAAAAAAATGAGAGTGTGAGTCAATGAAAACATCAAATGTTTATAAATAAATAAAACAAAATGCTTAGTAAAAACCAAGTTTAAGCCCGTTCTACATTTGGTAATACAGTGCACAAGAAAGGAGAACATGTGAACGCAGTGTTTCGTGAACGTCATTAGCCCAGTAGATGCTAATCAATTGGTTCTGCAGCTTCTCTGAAAATATGAGCCATGCTGAGAGTTGTGTGATTTATTGCTGCTACCTGGACTTCAAGTGGTTTTCTGTTAAATTTTCAGCAGATTTTTCTTCTTTCTTTAATCTACGGACGTGCACCGCGCAAATCAATATACGGTTCTGTGTATGCAGACGACTCACCAGGGACTCTGATGAATATTTACATCCATGGTACCAGTGCACTAAAGCATAATTAGGTTTTCTCTTTGCTTCTGTTTTTGTTTATGTTATCGACACATTATGTAAATAGAAACACTTTGTACTGGAAAGGAACTTATCCTCAGTAACCCCAGAACCTGGGAGGTCAGGTCTGCCATGCTGAGGCTGAATTGATTCGTTAGACTCCGTCAGACTGAGAGGATCTTCCCCAACATTGGCTCAAGAGAACCAAGGTTATTGTCTTTAAATCCTGCTGACTCACGGTGCGTGTTTTCCTAACTCAGTTAAAAAACAGTCTTACAAAACCCTAATGGTTTTTCTATGTCTTCGACATAAGCACCAGAGTGTTGAGCAGATGTTTTTTTTGTTTTGTTTTTTTTTTGCCCACAGGGAAACATTGGTGCAGCTCAGGAAATACCTGACTTCACTGATGAGGTGTGACATCTAAATGAAGGTCTAATTACAAGGTTCGCTTGTACATTTTATCCGGTGCCCAAAATATTTGTTTTTGTACTTTTGCTTTCTTGCCTTTATGGAAGATTAGTCAGATTAAAAGACCTGCGGCAACTGCACAAAGAAACTTTTTATCTGCTGACTGTTGCAGCTCATTTGATGATTTAATGCAGTTGTTTTCTTGTTTCTAAAATTATTCCAATATTTAACTTTGTAACACTTTAACTATTCTTAAAATTCACCACTTTAGTATAGTTACGGTTTTTATTTTATTATTTAATGAAGTCGTTCACCGAATGCGTATTAAACATGGTCGTAAAAGTATTTTTAGAATAAAAGATTTAGTTTTGAGTTTTTTTTTTTTTTTTACTTTCAGTTGAATGGTCACAACATCCATAAAAGCCATAATGACGTTTCGTGCCAACGAGGTCTAAAATATAAAGCACCACTGAGTAAGAAATTGGATAGGTCTTGAATTAGTGGCCTTAAAAATATTGGAAATGAACCTTGAAATCTGCATAACAAGGATTTTTAATATCGCTGTAAAATAGACAATTAACTTTTGAAAAGTCAGAGGAAAAATGTCGAGCTAGGCTTCTGACGCACACACACACACTCTCTTTACATGCTCTTTCCTTATATAATGGGTTGTTCACAGCAAAAGCAATAGGAACGGCTATAGTCCCAAAATGACCACATCGTTTTGGTGTGAACGCAGCAGCAGGGATACTCCAACACCTGTACCAAGTACTGCTACTCGTACTGGACTCACTGGCTCTCTTTGAATGTGCAGTGGAGACACAGCTCTTCTGGTTTGCACGACTTCCTCTCAGACACTACGACGCTGAACACTGATCCCAGAGCAGCTCTGTCTCTGAGATTTTATGTGGCTAATAACACGAGTGGAGTTCAATTTAAAAATTGGGCAGCACATAAAATCTAAAATGAACTTTTTTTGTACGCACCCAGAAAAAAAAAAGAAGGAAAATAAAAGTTTAAATAAGGGAAGAGTTCATAAAAACAGCATACTTGTCTCAGACACAGTAAACAGCCTGTGGGGAACGAGAAGGTTAGGGTTCGGTCTACTGTTCTTTGTTCTTTCTTACTCTCTTTTTCTTAGTTTTTACCCCAT